TAGTTAGTAGTTAGTAGTTAGTAGTTAGTAGTTAGTAGTTAGTAGGAGTAGGAGTAGGAGTAGGAGTAGGAGTAGGAGTAGGAGTAGGAGTAGGAGTAGGAGTAGGAGTAGGAGTAGGAGTAGGAGTAGAGTAGTAGGAGTAGGAGTAGTAGTAGCAGTAGTAGTACAGGAGTATAGAAGTAGTCGTCCTAAAATATCACTCAACAGCCCCCTCCTCGAGTCCGCACCCAACCGTGTGCAGCTGAGCTTGAAGCGCTTGGCTGAGGAGCTGCTGCGATCTGGAGCGCCAGTACTCCAACTGCGCATTGACAGCTGTGACACCAACGAGAAGAAAGCGCTCTTGAGGACTCCAGTATACTATAACCATCCTCATATATGCGAAATCGTACTCTGATGTACGATACTTTTACTAAAACAAACTGTAATTCTCCAGACTCTAGAATCATACTGCAGGTTTTCAAATCCCGCCTCTCGACCCCAGCGACGGAGTTCCTCCACCCAGGCGGCGGACGCGGCGGCATTGGCACGGGCCTCCGGTTTGGGGCTCTAAAACCCTAACCCTACACCCTAACCCTAAACCCTAAACCCAAACTTTAAGGCTTTCGGGCTCAGAGGTTGACGCCAACCGTGTGCATAGAACATGCGCGGAGCATCAATCTGGGGAAGAAATACGTCAGCGGTTGAAGCCTCTTTCGGTTTGGGGTTTCGAGCTTTAGGGGTTTAGGGTTTAGAGTTTAGGGTTTTGGGTTTAGTTTTCAGGGTTTAGGGGAGGGTTTGATCTTAGCTGACCCGTCATGTCAGGGCCCGAAACTTTATTGCCGGTTGGTTCAGGTCTGGACATCGGCGGACCTCAAGGTGGTCGTGCTCCACTCGGAAAGTCTGCTCCAGCTGATCCTTAAGAATTAGGCTGAGCAGGAGTTTGGAGGGGAGGATGCCGCACAAGAACAGAATTCAGCATAGCATGTGCGCATGCTAACTTAAACACAAAGGGGGAAAGAATGTGTACATCCATTGAAAAGCTTTCACCTGCGTATGTGTATGCGTGATGCATCTATCTATCCATCTGTCTATCTATCTATCTATCTATCTATCTATCTATCCATCTATCTATCTATCTATCTATCTATCTATCTATCTATCTATCTATCTATCTTAACGTGTGCGTGCATGTATGCATGTATGCATG